AGGACCCCTCCACATATATATATATACACATATGTATAACTGTTTGTTCATGTTCTACTAAGGCATGTGCACACATAGTTTGGTACAGAAGGACGTGCTGACTGATGATAGCAGCTCGCATATGCTTGCTAGAAGGGCATGTCCAACAAGCTGAATATACGTTGTCGGAGGATCTTTCCGTTGCGATGCCCCTAAAACCATATAAACCGGACCCATATGAACCCTAAACCCTAATGGCCTTCAATACAACCACCTTGTGAGAATTATCCAGTGGGAGTTTGGTGCTCCGTGAAATGTGCTGACTCTTTTTTCTAGACAAAGCTCTTTGTCGTACCAGCAACTTCCAGGCATGCATGTGAGAGTTGTGAGTGCTGAGAAGTCTTGAACCCCAAACCTGATCCGAGAAGCGTACCAAAACCCGATGCTTCCGCAGCTGTCCTGGCTTCAGTCGTCGCCACTTCAGGGAGGGCACCTGGCGCGTAGTGATCATGGCAAGGTTGATCTCAGCCGTTCCTCGACTGCTCTGGACATCTTACATCTTAGCAGAAGAGGCCCTAAACCCTAAACCCTAAACCCTAAACCCTTTAACCTTTTCCGACTTGTTTCTTCCTTGAAATCCCGACCCAACCTCTACAGGTCCCACGTCCGACACCTCCTGGAATCCTGAATGGTCCCGGTGTCCGAGTCCTGATCATGAAGCACTCGTTTCGAATCAGACCCGAATCCGGTGCCTGTCTGCTTCCCGCCGAATTTCTGAACCTAATTCTTCAAGTCGCGAAGCTAGGCTCACGCCTTTCGCCGGGGACATCTCATGGCATGTCAAGCAGAACCGTTTCGTGGGTATTAGAGTAAGTCTCTACATATCTGGACAGGTAGGCATGCGGGTTTGTGTTCCTCGGGCTTTAGGATGTCACTGACAAGCATTACTGCAATTGTTTGTCTTGCTACTGTTGGTACAAGAGAGTGGAGTTCCCCTCACAGGTGGCTTTATAGGTTGGATTCCGAGCCTTGCAGCCATCGCGATTTTGGGTTTGAACAACATTTATATAGGGGCCTCAATACTTAGAATAGGGTTTTGTGGTGGAATAAAGCATAAAACGGAACCCCCGGCCCCTAGAGTAACGGGTTTTTTGGAATCTCTCTGGCACTGCGTGGCGCAAGCACGGAGGCTATTCTGTTGCACTTCCCAAGGGTCCCCCCTGTCCTAACTCCTAGGGGTCTATGGGGCTTTTAGGGTTTAGGGTCAGCACTGCGAGGTTCTCATGCTCCCAGTGGCGGTGGAGGCAGCTACCTGCGCGAACTATGACAGCACCAACGAGTCGTACTGCGTTTCGATGAACGACGGTGGTTGCGCCTTGGCCGTCATGAGCTCGAAACCGCCCGTAAGGCGCGGCAATGCACGGATGCTTGCAGAAGCCATGGGAAGACCTTTTGAAGTCCGCCCATAACTATAAACCTTAAGCCTAAGCTTGCCAAATTCGAGGTGCATGCGTGTGGGCGGCCAACACATCCGCGTGCAGTCAGCTGCCTCAGAGGTGATTCCACCGGAAACGCGGAGTCAAGGCCAAACCCTGGAAATACTAAGCCCTAAGCCCCACGCCTCTGGAGGTCTCAACGGAAGCATCCCAAACTTCACATCTTCCTGAGTTCACAGGAGGTTGCATGGTGACTCTGGTGGTAATGACGTCGAGCGGTTTCATCGATAATTCCGAACGCCGTTTACGATGGTGATATGAACATAGCCCAGTTTAGCTGCTTCTTTTATTGCTTATATGGGGCGACATGATATCACAGACAGCCAGGAAGCCTTCACACTCTCCTATTGACAGCAATGCGGCATCCCAAGGCCAGGGTACTGTGTGCGATGGAGTGGGGATCACCAGCGTCGGGGACGAGAACACGACCAACACAACGACCACCACCACAAGCAACGGCGCCAGCGCCCGGGTGGCAGACTCCTTGTCTTACATAGGTTCCGGTGGTATCAGAAACCTGACTGGCTCCCTTCAGGTGGCTTGATGCAGTAAGACAGGAGACTTTTTGACTCACGAAGAGTTCTCAGGTAAATCCTAAGCCGTCTTGAAGCTGATCCCTGCCTCCGGGGCCGAAGCCGTAAGCCTTAAGCGAAAGCTTCTCCTGCACCTAAATCGAAGTAGTAATTGCAATTCCAATACTAAAAGTAATAATGACAGCAGTAAGTAGTATATAACAGTTACAGTATAATAGGAGGTAGAATATATTCTGAACAAGGCATGGTCAGTTCGAGCCAGTGGACGGCTCCAGGACTTCGTGCACTGGCCTGCGCCACCCGGATCGCGAAAGGGGGCCGGGGCCGTTTCGACCCGCGGTGGGGAATGGTGATTTTCAAGTATGGTGTCAATGGAATCGGCAAGGTTGAGTCGTGACTTCGGCGTAAATCCTGCTCGACTCGTGATTCCTCAACAGTTGGCGGTCGCTGTTCCGAGGTCCTTGGGGAAGGTTGTGCTGCAGTCGGCGTGTTCTATGCCCAGCATAACCATCTTATCCGCACCCACCTGCGGAGGTAGTTGTCGCATCGAGCGGCAATCTCAACATACGAAGGCAAAGACTATTCTCTTGGGTGTTGCTGTCAGCTTTCATGGCGGGTAGAACTCAAAAATCAAGACATCTTCTTACTGTTGTTACGAATCATTACTACGAGTATCCTTATCATAGTTCTTATGATAATATCACTTACTGGTAATCAGAGCTGGGGAAGCGAGACCCCGCAGGAAACACCTTCGAATATCGGGGCTGGTCATGATAACATTGTCAAGAGGCTGAAGGATCGTTTTGTGGTGCAGGCTACACACACATACGCATGTCCGATTGAAGAGCGGCATTATAGTTGACGGGCGTTGCTGGCCATAGATAGACACACATAGACATACGTAGATAAATAGATACATAGACAGAGACAGATACATACGCAGATAGATGGACAGTTACATATCGATCGGCAGCCTACAATACTGGAGGTGAGTGTTGGCAAGCGTGAACCCTATGTTTCTGAAACGCCGATACCTATCGTGCAAGAAGTCACCGTATCTCAGGCAGTTATGCTGAACCACATTCGCTGAGCTTGCTGGCTGCCAAGACGACGAAACCCTAAACCATGAACCCTAAACCCTAAACCCTAAAACCCTAAACCCTAAAACCCTAAAGCCTAAGACCCGAAACCCTAAGCTTCATAGGAGCCTGCGCAGGCTTGTACAGTCAAGGTACACGAAGAGAGCTTTAGCAGCTCTCCGCTCCGCCATTTGTTGCAGGGATCCAGGACAGAGAGGTAGTACTAATTGGAACAGGGCTTCAGCTTTTGGGCTTATTTACCTGCACATTCATATATGTGTATACAGAGAGAGAGAGAGAGAGAAAAAAAAACGCAGAGAGACAGAGAGACAGAGAGACAGAGAGAGAGAGAGAAATAGAGAGAGAGAGAGATGGAGAGGTGAGCGAGACACAGGCTTGCATAGCGTGTTTTAACGCGGGGCCGGAAGCAATAGCTTTCCCTTTCAAGCATCACACCGGAAGCCATCGAACAGTAAACATCTACTTTTCGTCATCGGCGCGGTCATGTCTCGATTGTTGGGTCCTATCAACTACTTAGGTCAACGGGCTGCAGACTAAAGCTTGGCGTAGCTTTGTCCGGCTTGAGGCTCCTGCGGCAAACTGTTTTGAGCGGATAGCATGCAAGCTTCTCCAGAAATCAGGCACCACGCATCCAAGGCCAACGTGCCACGCAGACAGAGGAGTCATGCCGGATGTTCAGATGATCTCCAACGAGTAGTTGCAACGAGATTACCTAAACCCTATAAACCCTAAACCCGAAACCCCTCTTCTGTTCAAAGCATCTCGCCGACTGCTTGCTGACTTGCTGACTCCTCGATGCCTTGCTGCTGAATAGAGAAGACATCCTCTTCGATTTCTCTAGCATCTTTGTGATTTAGTCGTCGACGCAGAAGGACGTCGTGGCCTAGGGTTGCCCGGACTCTTCTAATTTCCCACGTAAAAAGGGGCCTGAACATTTACCAATACTGTTCCTTATGGGTTTCCGTATGCTAATTGTACGAGAATCTGCCCCAAAGCCCTATTCCAGTCATCAAGGTCCAAATGAGAACCCTTTACAGAGAGCTCTTTAAAATGCCCGCCTTGAAAAAGGAGACTTTTCTAAACTCGCAAGGCCCCTGTAATATCGTGGCGCTCAGGAGCCGGAGGCTCCAAAAGAGGCTGTGGCTACACCCAGGTCGGATCTTTGCGCGAAGCCGAACTTCAGAAGAAAAGGCTGCTGCTTCAGGTTTAGGGTTTAGCAGGTTTGGGATTAGGGCCCAGGGCAGGTTTGAGGGCCCAAGCCTAAAGGTAGAATGAGACTGAAGATTCAACACAGATGGTTTTGCTGACCCATTATGCTGTGTTCCTGCGCGTGCCCAATTGCTTGCACACGGACGTCGACGGGAAATAAAGCTACGTATGTAAAACCCAACCTCATGCGGTCTCCATTTAGCCTCCCAGAGGTCAGCACATTCTTCATGTGGAAGCTGCTCATCTTTGGCTGTGTGGCAGTCTTCTTTTGCTACAGTATATCTGTAAAGACCTAGGCAAATCAATTCAGTATTACCAGTAGCATACTCGACTTCTATGTCAGGCCATGTTCCATAGCAGCTACTACAACCAAAGCCAACACTGTTGACAGTGTTGCTGCAGTTTGCAGCTCTGGTGACCATACATAGTGTTTAGTATAAAGGCTACGATGTGCTACCATGCAATATTTAAAGCATCATGACACGCAAGCTGCATGATGACTTGCTCGTGGACATCGCGCAGTTTCTGGTAGCCAGAGTCCTCAAGTTGGCACACCGTGTTTTGGGTAAAGGGGAGCCGTGACAGAGGAAGCATGTTTGGATCTGGGCCAAGGTGAACCCCCCAAAACCCGTTCAGCCGATCGTGCTTTCTTGCCGGACCCGAAACCTGTGCACAGATCAGAAGGCTGCGGGAACATGATCTTGCCTAGCTTCACAGATGCAGTTCTTATCAGAAGATATGGCCCTTTAAGCTGTAGCACCTACAGCTGACACCCTTCATACTACTTTCCCTAGCCCTGAACCCTCAAACTGTGTCACCTATATTTATATACATGTATATACATCTACAGCTGTGGATATTTGAAGTTGTTGCTAATTGTAATATGTCATAAGATGCCCCTAACTCTTGAATTGAGGCCCCAACGAGACCCTACACCCTTACCCCCGTCTAAGGTGGAACCTACCATCTCCAGCCGGTGCCTCAGACGTTGCAGAAGCTCCGCTTAGATCTCCTTCGGGCGAGAGCGTGCAATCCATATTGTATGATACATATCTTATAGTATGAAATACTAAATGAATAAATAAAAAATATATGTGTATATATAGAATATGCAATGTATAACCCTCAAGACTGCACCGAGAAATGAGGAAAGAGCGCCCAAGAATACGTCCTTTTATGTACCAAGCCATCGGGGAAGAGCTCTCAAAAAGTACATGCTTTAACGAAGCATGCGCCCTTGGAGCGGCATTGTGTTTCTATCTGCATGTTTCTGTCTCTGAATGGTTCCGAGTACGCATATACGTATGCAATCGTGTGCAACTGTGTGTGTGAGAGAAGGCCGGTGGGAGAAGGCTTGAGGGACGACGACAACCCGCTCCCCTTGGCCACAGATGTGAATTTGCCGGAGATGAAATGGTGTCTTAAGTTTGTCTCGGCTCCGTGTCCCTGTAAGTGGTTAGCTTTGCAGACTAGGGTACCTTAACCAAAAAGGCTGACATACTTCTTCGCAGGCCCAACCATGAAGCGTATTCCAGAGAATTAAACCCTAAAGCCTACCCTTTGGTTATATGTTGCAAGTTCAGGGACTTGTCAGATAGCTTCGAGTAGATGCCACACCGCAGTCACTTCACCCAGAGCCCTCAGAGCCCCGGGTTTAAGGCGCCAAAATGCTGGATGAAATGTTTACCTGAGGCGAATGCAGCACGGAACTCGAGGAGCGTGGTGGCTACGTACTGCTCACACAAGTATTGATCGTTGCTGCCGGTCTTCTCGTTGTGCTTGCGATGATGATGTTGCTGGCATTGGGTCATACGAAGATTTCTGCACGCTGTAATCTTTGGGTGACGTTCGGATGTCGGGCGCCCGACGAAGCCAATCGGGAGTAATCCTTCCGTGACATGGGGTTCTTTCTAGCATGCATTAAGGCCCGCTTCAAGGCGATTGCCTGTGCACAAGAAGTTTAGTTTAAATGCACATGTATGGTATGCAAGACGAATCTCAGGTATGTGCCTCAACCCAAACCCTTAAAACCCTAGTAGTTATAAGGATCAAGCCCTGAGCTGCAACGGTTCTCGTTGCTGTAACTCTTTCGACATGGTATAGGGGCCTTAACAAGTAGGATAAAGGTTTTTTGGGGGTATGTTCTACTATAATTATAATCAGGATCCCACCCAAAATAGTATTGGTAATTATTATATACGGCCCCTACATTCGGATCCGACCGCATTTTTTGACAGGTAGCAGGCTCAGGCTCTATGGATTTCGAATCCCCCGATCTCCAGGTCTAAGGTCGGTGGAGTGAGCTGATTCATCCTGTCTTCCAGGAATAATGTAGGGGCCTTGATAAGTGGAATATAGGGTTTTGGGGGGTTCCTTATTATAACTAGTTAGAATTATTGTATGATATACCCGCAAACCCTATTCTAATTATTAAGGCCCCTATATTAATCTGTGCTGGGCTGTCGCATGATGCGGCTCTTGTGCTCGATTGTAGTTCTGCTTATCTGTCGCAAGAAAGCATGATAAACCAAAACCTAAAGCCCATACGGGCTGGCCGCCTGGGAGCAAAATGCTGCAAACCTGCATGTGCATTCTGCTGTCCTTCTGCATCGCCGACATGGTATAAACTTGAGCTTCGGAACCATGTATATACGCTCCAGCCGACTCTATACTCGCTGTAATTCCTGGATGTTGTTTCCATATCTCGTACATTTCTGTCGTCGTTGGCTGTTGCCCGTATACCGGTCATTCTGGGCCCGGCCTTCCTCTGAGTGGCAGGAGTACCTCTTTAGCCTGCTCCTTTTCGGCCACTTGGCCGCCATGAAGCAAGCACGGGGTCGAACAACCCGAACGACGCACCCGGGGCACTGCGACCAGGCTCAGGGATTCTTTTCTTAGGAGCCCAATTGGTGAACTTCAAACTTTTTTGGTATATTAAACCCTATTAAAAGAAAAGTTTAAACTTTTTCGAGCCAGGGTATTGGACTTAAAGGTTTTTGGCTTCAGGGGAAAGTTTGGGGTTCACAGGGCTTAAGCTTGGCTTAGGGTGTAGGGAGAAAGTTGCTTCAATTAGTGAGACCTTGATTAT